ATGCCTCGACACCTTGGGGGTCGAGGACCAATGTATGGCAAGGGACCCCAGAAGCTGTCCAGTAGAATGCCTGGTTGATAAGATTAGAACCATGGCCGGGGTTCTGGGGTCTGGTTTCGATTACAACATTGGTCGTCAAGCTGATAACAATTATCTGGTCAGCAGACTCATGCCCTCCAAGCCCTAGATGACATTCTTTAGTGTCACCCATCCATTTCTCCTTGTCCTCCTACCCCACATAACTGATGCGGGGTTATTCTATCAATAAAAAAGGCCAGGCTCTTGCTCTTCCGCAGCATCCTGCATTGTGCAGCCTGCTCCACAACACCCGTTTCTTTATCGGTGTGGTGTTGCCTGATGCAATAAGTGATGCCCAAGCAGGGAAGCATTGTAGGAGAAACTGGCCTTCCACCCCGGAGCGGACCTCATGGAGAAGGCCCAGAGGACACAGAGCGGAGTCTGGAGTGCTCCTGCTTCAGGCTTGGCCTGGCTGCATTACTCGCTTGCCACTGGTCTTGGGAAAGCTGTCCTATTCCTTTAGTTACCGCTGAAGGTTTCACTATCTGAAAATTATAGTAACAGCATCCTGGGGGGAATGTTATAAGGATTGAGAGAAAAGACGAGAAGAAAGCACGCATTCAATCGACAATATTAAGATGATGCTAAATGTTTATCTTTTTTAAAAAAATATTTATTTATTTATGCATACAAGAACTGGGATACAGGTCAGAGGTACAGGGAGGAGAGAGGATTCACCAGAGACAGGGTGGGGAACAGAACAGGCAGATAGAATGAAGTACATAGCTGAGGGGAGCAGCGGGCGAGTCAGGAGAGGTCTGCTGTGCCATGTGGGTCAGCTCCCTGTCCTGGTATCGAACTTGTATGCAGAGGCTGCAGATAGCTCCACAGTGCTGTGATTAAGCCCTTGTGCCACCAGGGAGGACCTTCATATACATTTCATTTGAACTTTTCAGTGTAAGAGTAAAGGTAAGGAAGCAAAATCTGCTTATAAAATGGGTTTTTATCATTGAAAATACTAGAAATTCTAACTAAAGTGTAATCCATCTTAAACACTTCAAATATTTTAGTAAAGCAATACAATGTTTTTAAAAGTGACCTATTTGCTGATAGCAGTAATAAGATGCTTTCAACCATGGCACTCTTTCAAAAGAAGGCAGACCTAGAAATACATCCAAGACTCAAATTATGAAACGACTGTTTATTAGAAACATTACATGGTAAGATTACAGGTGTAACTAATGAGGATTTAAATTCCCTCAAAATTTAAACTTTTTAAAATTAAATATTTATTTATGCACACAAGAGCTGGGGTACAGGCCAGAGGTGTGGGGGTGAGAGGACTCACCAGAGACAGAGTGGGGAACAAAACAGGCAGACTGACTGAAATACACTGCTGAGGGGAGCAGTGGGGAGACAGGAGAGGTCTGCTGTGCCATGTGGGTCAGCTCCCTGGCCAGGGATTTACCTTACGCTGCAGTGGCTGAGGATAGCTTCATAGTGCTCTGCCTTAACCCCTTGCACCACCAGGGAGGCCCCTAAAATTAGTTTTTATTTGGAAATTGATGATAACGTATTAGTGAATCACTTGTACCACAACCTGAGGTCTTTAGGGTGCTCCACTGCAAAGTTTCTGGGTTTCTTACTTGGCTGTCTACCCAAGGGATGTTGTTCCAAGACCCCCTGTCTAAGAGCTGCCTCAGAGACATCTAGTTTGGCATCTTCAAGGACAATACCAAGAAGCAGATTGCTCCATCTCCTACTGTACCAGTTAGTGATTGCAACACTACTTCTGGGTAGCAAATCACCCAAAACAGTGCTTACCACAACAATCCTTTCCCCTGCCTGTCCCTGTTCCATGCTGGGGAGGGTTTTATGTTTTTGTTTTTGTTTCATTTTTTAAAAATAAAGTAGAGTAGGGAACAGAACAGGCAGATCTACGGAAATACACTGCTGAGGGGAGCGGTGGGTGAGACAGGAGAGGTCTGCTGTGCCCTGTGGGTAGCTCCCTGGCTGGCTGGTGATTGAACTGTGTCTCCGTGGCTAGTGATAGCTTGGTAAGCGCTGTGTTTAACCCCTTCATCACCAGGGAGGCCGTAGAGAGGGTTCCAAGCCAGTCTCTCATTGTTCTTGGGGCAGCAGAGCCGCCAGGCAAGGGCTTCCCCGGGGGAAGGCAGGAGTGCTGGAAGGAGCAGAAACAAGCAGTGCCTCTCCAGGTCAGGCTGGGAATCCTCTCTTGCTGTCGGTCTGCCCATATTCCTTTGGCCAAAAGCAAGTGTAATGATCTAACCCCAACCTAAGTGGGGTGGAGAAACATTCCAGCCCCGATGGGGTTTGCCCGCCTGGAGAGAGGGGTGGGAGCGAGGCTCCTTCTCGCCCACCGAGGTGCACCCGGGACTTTCCTGCGATTTCCAGTTAGCAGCGGGGGAAAACACTTCCCTTCTCCGGGTGGCTGACATGACAGCAGGAGTGATTTGGAGCAGGAGAGACCTGGGCCTCACGCTGGGAACCAGGCTTTGTCCGCGCAAGCCCCTTCGGCGGCGGGGTTATTGTCAAGGGGGTGCGGTGTCTCCTCGCACCCCTTAATTCCTTGCAAAGGTCAGGGCGGACAAGGATTCGCCTACTTGGCAGATTATTTTGCCGACAAAGGGGATTTAAAATACGGCCTTGGAAAGAGCAGTTACAGGTCTGCACGGCGTGAGGCTGCAGCTGTGGCGGGTGCAGCGTCGCCGGGATTCGGTCGGGAGCCCCTCAAACTTCAGCGGAGCTGCCGGGACCCCGACCCGACCCTGCCGGGGCCAGGTTCCCCTCGATGGAGAAGCAACACTTTCCTGAGCGCGGGGTTCCCACAGTTCCTCGGCAAGGCAGGAGGCGACGCCCGCCTCTCCCCAACGGACACTCATCCCTTTAAAAAGAGGGGGCGCGTCTTCAGGGCCTCCCGCGGGCCCCCCTGGGGTTCCCTCACCTCGGCCCTACTCTGGAGTCATTTTCTTGGCTCCCACGTTACTTTCGAGCTCGGCTCCCGCTCCCATTCCTCGGGGTTTCTCCTTCGCTCCCCGCCGGTCGCGGGGCGGCGCCGGGGGCCGGCGGGGCCCCGACCCCAGCGGGCAGCGGGGCGCCCCGGGACGGGGCCCTTCCTCAGCCGCGCGGCCGGGGCGGCCCGAGGGTCCGCGCGGAGGGAGCCCGCGGGGCGCGCCGCCCGCCGCGCCGCCGGCCTTTGTGCGCTCGAGGGCGCGGAGCGGGCCCGGCCCGCGGCCCCCTTTGTGCGGCGGGGGGGCCGGCGCGCGGCCGGGGGGCGGCCCGCGCTCGAGTCCGCGGGCGCGGAGTTACTTCCCGCGGCGGCCGGCGGGCGCGACAAAGGCGCGGGCCGGGCGCCCTCGCGCCGCAGCTGCGCGCTGGGCCCCGCCGCGCCGCGCCGCCACCGCGGGCGCCAACCGCCGCGCCGCCCGGCCGTTGGGCGGGGGTCACTTCTGGGAACGGGGCGGGGCCGGGCGGGGCGGGGCGCGCGCGTCACGGGGCGGGGCCGTCGCGGGGGCGGGGCCGGGGCCGGCCGCCCGCCCCCCGCCGGGTGGCCGCGCGGGGCCGAGGGGCGGGCGCGGCGGGGACCCCGGCCAGGAGTTTCCCCGCCCCGGGCCCCGAGCGTGTCACCCTGGCGGGGGCGGCGCCGGCCCCGGGGGAGCCGGGCGGGCGTCCGGGCGGGCGCGGGCCGGGCCGGGGGCGCGGGCGGGCGGCGGGCGGCGGGCGCTGCAGGTGCACGCGCGGCCCCGCCACCCCCGCCCCGGGCCGGGGCCGCCGCGCCGGGGCGCCCGCAGCGGGGAGCGGCGCGCGCCGGCGGCCGGGCGGCGCGGGAAGTTGGGCCGCTCGCGGCTGACAGGCCCGGCCCCCCCGCGCGGCGGGAGGGGCGCTCGCGGCGCGGGCGGGGCGGGGCGGCGGCCGGGGAGTCGGGGCGCGGCGGGGGCGGAGCCGAGCGGGCGCGGCCGGCGGGCGGGGGCCGAGGGCCGAGGGCGGGGCCCCCATTGCTCCCCGCGCCGGGCTCAGCGTCGCCGCCGTCGCCGCGGCGGTTGGGGGCGCGGGCGGGGCGCGGGCGGGCGGCGGGCGGCGGGCGCCGCGTTGTCTCCTCCTCGCGCGGGGCGGCGGCGGCGGCGGGCCCGCTCCCCCCGGACGCCCGGCCCTCGGCGGCGGCGGCGCGGGGCCGGGGGCGAGGCGGCGGCGCGGCGAGCAGGTAAGAGCGCGGCGGCGGGACCGGGGCCGTCCCGAGAGCCGCCGCCGCCCGCGCCCGCCCCGCGGGCCGCGGGCCCGGCGCTCCCGGGGGCGGCGGCGGCGGGGCCGGCCGGCGGCTCCGGGCAACGGCCGGCGCGGGCCGGGGCCGGGGCCGGGGCGCGGGCCGGGGCGCGGGGCGCGGGGGAGGGGCGCGCGGCTGTTTACGCGGCGGCGGCGCCTCGGCCGGCGGCGGGCGCTGCTCCGCGGGGGCCGCGGCGGGCGGCGGCGGCGGAGGAAGCGCGTCCCGGGCGCGGCGCGGCGGCGGGGCCGGCGGCTTCCTGCCCGTCGGGCCCGGGGCCTCCCCGGCGGCGGCAGGTTGCGGGTCCCTCACTCCCCCGCCCGGGGGGCGCCCCGCGCCGCCGGCCGCGGGCTCTGCCTTTTTCAAACGAAACAAAAACGGGCTCAGCCGCTCGCGCGCCCCGGAGCCGCCCGCCCGCCCGCCCGCCTCGGCGGCCCCGCGCGCCCGGACCGGGGGGCGGGGGCGGGGGGCGCGCTCGCCCCGGCCCGCGGAGGGCGGGGAACTGGCCCCGGCGCCGGGCCCCCCGGCTCGTCGGGTTTCTGGGGCTCCCGGGGCCGCCCGGGCGCTCCGCTCGAGGGGCCTTTCTCCGAGTTCTTGGCACCCCCTCCCGTGAGGAAACGGGGCGCCTCGCGGGAAGAGCGGGCGTCTCCGCCTCGGGGGCCGGGCGCTGGGCGCGGGCTGGCGGTGCCCCCGGCGAGGCGAGGACCGCGCGCGGCCGCAGGTGAGGGCCCCGCAGGTGAGGGCCCCGCAGGTGAGGCCCCGCAGGTGAGGGCCCCGCAGGTGAGGCCCCGCAGGTGAGGCCCCGCAGGTGAGGCCCCGCAGGTGAGGGCGCGCCGCCCGGGCAGGCGTCGGGGAGCGCTCGCCGCGTGGGGTAGGCCCGGGTTGGGCCCTTCGGGAGCTGGAACGCTCTCGGACGAACCTGGAAACCATTTGAGTTGCATTTGAAGTAACTTGGGAGTCGTTGGAGTTTCTCTCCGGTGCGGCGCCGTTTGCGCGGCGCGTTCCCATGAATGCGGTTCTCCCCTGGCCGTTAAACGCGTCAAGTGGAACATGGGACGATCTTGGACTTTGGAATTTTGACTGTTTACTGTCAACCTAATTTTTATTTTTTAAAGATTTGTTTATGCACACAAGAGCTGGGGGTGGGGGGGTGAGGAGTCACCAGAGGCGGGGGAGCAGAACTGGCAGATCTACTGAAATCCACTGCTGAGGGGAGCAGCGGGGAGTCGGGAGGGGCTGCTGCGCCCCGCGTGTCAGCTCCCTGCTGGCCCGCCCGGGATGGGGCTGGAGCTGCGGAGGCTGCCAGTAGCTTGATAGCGCTGTGTCTTTTAACCCCTGCGCCACCAGGGAGGCCCCCAGCCTAGTGTTTAAGCACGGTCCCCGCTAATTGATCATTGCTGTTCATTTCAGACGTGTCTACTCATTCACACGAGAAGCAAAGCGTGGTTGGAAAGAATTTGTAACATTGAGCTTTTTCTACCCTAAGGAAATAGGGCCAACAAGAGTTGATGGCCTTATAGGCTCACAGGTTGTACACCAAGTTTTGTTATACAACAACTTTATTGAGCTAAAATTCACATGCTGTTCATTCATCAGCTTCAAGTTTAGTGGTTTTTAATATCTTCACAGAGTTGTGCAATTATTACCCTAATAGATTTTGGAACATTTCCATTACTCTGCAAAAGGAACCCTATACCCATTAGTAGTCACCCCACATTTCCCCCAACACCCCTAACCCTACTTTCTGGCTCTAGATTTGCCTGTTTTGAACATGGAGTCATGCAGTATGTGATCTGTGACTGGTTTCTCTCAGCATCATTTTCAAAGTTCATGTTGTAGCTTATGTGTTTCTTTTTATTGCCAAGTGATATTCCATTATAGAACTGTACCACATTATTTGTTTATTAATTAGTTGATGGACATTTGAGTTTCCACTTTTTAGCTATTATGAATATGTTGCTATGAACATTTGTTAGAAGTTTTTGTGTGGTCTATTTTCATTTCTCTGTGCACTTGTAAAAATTATCTTTTGGGGTTGCTTAAGAGCATCATCTCATCCATTTTGAGTGCACAATTCAGTGATTTTTATTTACTTTTTATTTATTATTTTTTAAAGATTTATTTATGCATCCAAGAGCTGGCGCACAGGCCAGAGGTGTGGGGGGTGAGAGACGTCACCAGAGACAGAGTGGGGAACAGCACAGGCAGATTGACCGAAATACAACGCTGAGGGGAGCAGTGTGGGTCACCTCCCTGGCGGGGGATCGAACTTGTGCTGCAGTGGCTGCAGTTAGCATCATAGTGCTGCGTCTTAACCCCTTGTGCCACCAGGGAAGCCCCTCAATGATTTTTAATATATAATGTAGACTTGTTAAACTGTCATCACAAGGTAGTTTTTTTTTTTTTTTTTAAGCTTTCTTTATTTATGCACGCAAGAACTGTGGTGTAAGCCAGAGGTGTGGGAGGTGAGAGGATTCACCAGAGAGAGCCGGGGAACAGAACAGGCAGATGTACTGAAACACACTGCAGAAGGGAGCAGCAGGCAAGACAGGAGAGGTCTGCTTTACCATGTAGGTTGCTCCCTGGCCTGCCAGGGATTGAACTCCTGTAGTGGCTGGCAGTAGCTTGACTGCGCTGTCTTTAACCCCTGTGCCAGCAGGGAAGCCCCCACAAGCTAGTTTTTAAACATTTCTTTCACCTCCAAAAATTACTTTTAGCTGATTTGCAGTTAATCCTGGTTTTCAGTGCGAGTCCCAGGCAACCACTGACTGGAGTGCTTTCCTGGGTAGTTCCTGTAAGTGGAATCATCCAGTATGTAGTCCCCATCATCTGGCTGCTGCTTTTTTTTTTTTTTTTTTTTTTGTGCATACAAGAGCTGGGGTGTAGGCCAGAGGGGGGTGTGTGTGTGTGGGGGGGGGGTTGTTGTTGGTGGTGGTGAGAGGATTTACCAGAGACAGGAGAGGTCTGCTGTGCCATGTGGGCCACCTCCCTGGCCAGGCCAGGCCCAGCCTGGGATTGAACTCAGGCTGCAGAGCTTCCTAGTGTCCTAGTGCTGAGACTTAACCCCTTGTGCCACCAGGGAGGCCCCTGATTGCAGGTCTTTTATTAGATCATTGATTGGCAAATAATTTCACCTAGTCTGTGATTTGTCTATTCTTTTTTTTTTGGAGCACAAAAGTTTTTATTTTGATGAATTTCTCCAGGTTTTTTTTTTTTCTTTTCATCATTTGTAGATAATGTTTCTGTTCTCACATGTAAAAACTCCCTGCCTTCTCCTAGGTATTTTATTGTTTTTGTTCTTAAACTTACATATTTTGACTTAATTTTTATGTATTGTGTGAAATAAGGGTCTAAACTCATTTGTTGCATATGTATTTGCGAACATTTGTTGATGAGACTATCCATTTCTCCATTGGCTGTAATGTAAATATTTATTTTTGGGCTCTCAGTCTGTTTTATTCTCTGTCTGTCCTTATGCCATTTGCACCCTGTCTTGACTGCTGTGCTTTTGGTATGTTAAGAAACTGGGTAATGTAAGCCTTCCTGTTTTGTTTTTCTTTTTAAAAATTGTGGTTATTCTGGGTTCTGTATACAAATTTTAGAATTGACTTGTTAACATCTTGAAATTTTGATTCTACCCCCTTTTCGACTTTTTCAGTGTACACACACAGTATTGTTAATCATAGGCACACTGTTGTGTAGTATGTATCTAGAACCTGATCATCTTGCACAACTGAAACCTTGAAATTTTTGCCCAGATTAGCAGCAGTCCATTTTCCCTCCTCACCAGCTCCTGCGCTGTCATTCCACTCTCATTCTCTGAGTTTGAGCACTGTTGATACCGCATATAAGTGGGACTTTGCAATATTTGTTCTTCTATGACTGATTTATTTCACTTAGTATATGTCCTCGAAGTTCATCGGTGTGGTAATGTAGTGCAGGATCTCCTTTTTAAGGCTAAGTATCATTTTATGTTTACACATAAAATTTATACTTAATGTTTGGTTTATTTCTAAGTATTTTGTTCTTTTCTGATGCTAGAAGAAACTTGTGAACGAAGTTTCTTTACAATTCCATACTGAATTTTTGTTGCTAATGTATACAAATAATTGATTTTTACATCCTGCTCTTACAGCCTTTAATCTTACTAAAATCATTTATTAGTCCTTACGTTATTTTTGTGAATTTCACAATATTTTCTCCTTACAATAATGAGTTGTCTGAATAAAGCAGGTCTTACTTTTCCCTTTCTAACAAGAATGTATTTATTTCTCCTTCTCTGCTTGCTTCCTTCCCTTCTTTCCTTCTTTGGCCAGAACTGGCAGTACGTTGTTGATTAGGAATAGCCAGAGCACACATCTTTGTATTACGAGGGGGATGAATTCAGCTTTTCACCATTAAGTATAATAATGCTGCATGTATGTGTGTGTGTATATGTATATATTTTAATAGGTATTGCATATTTGGAAGAGTATAGTTCAGTTTTTATCATGATGGGGTATTGTATTTCTGTCAAATGCTTTTTTTGTGTCTGTTAGCATGACCAACTGTCACAGTTTGTCCGAGACTGTCCTGGTTTTAGTACTGAAAGTCTTGCCTCTGGGGAAACCCGTCAGTCCTGGCAAGCTATCTCATCCAGTGTGTGGGATGATCTGGTGGTTTGTCTTTTATTCCATTAATTTAGATTATTGCATTTAATGATTTTCAAATATTAAAGCAGCTTTATATACATATATATAAATATTTATTTATGCATACAAGAGCTGGGGTGCAGGCCAGAGATGTGGGGGTGGTGAGAGGGTTCCCCAGAGACCGTGTGAGGAGCAGAACAGGGAGATCTACTGAAATCCACTGCTGAGGGGAGCACCGGGGAGATAGGAGAGGTCTGCTGCACCATGTCGATCACCTCCCTGGCCTGGGATCGAACTCGTGTGGCGGTGGCTGCATATAGCTTCATAGTGCTGTATCTTAACCCCATGCACCACCAGAGAGGACCAGCTTTATGTTCTTGGGGTAAACCCCATGTGATTGTGGTATATAATTCTTATTATGTATTGCTGGGTTTGGTTTGCTCAGCTAAGGTGAGTATTTTTGTGTCTGTCTCGGCACTACTGGTTGTTTTCTTCTGATGTCTTTGGCTTTTGTGTCATACTAATACTAGCCTCCTAGAAGAAACTGGGAAATGTTCTCTCTTCTATGTTCTGTAAATGTTAATGATGGATTAGTATTATTATGAACTTGAGTATATTTGATAGGATTCATTAGTGAAAGCATCTAGCTCTGGATTTTTCTCTTTGGGAAAAATTTACATTGCTAATTCAATTTCTTGTTATGTCTATTCTGTTTTTCTGCTGGTTTCTGAGTTAGCTTCAGTAATTGTGTTTCTAGGGACCTGTCAGTTTCGTTGAGGCTATTTAATATTTTTGGCAAGCAGTTCATCTTACTTCTATATGTGCTTTTAGTTTCGCTAGCATAGCCGTGATTTGTCTCTTGTCATTTCTAATTTTGGTAGCTTGTGCTTGTTTTCTTTTTCACTTGGTCATTGTAGCTAATGGCTAGTCACCTTCCGTTGCTCTTCTCAAGGAAATGGTTTTGTTTAAAAAATTTTCCCCCAATTTCTGTTTTCTGTTTCATTGATTTCTGTTGAATCTTCAAAATTCCCTTCCTTCTGCTTGCTTTGGGCTCAGTGTGCATATTTCCTTTTCTAGTTTCTTCTTTTGAATCAGCGGTCTTGTAGTTCTTTCCCTCAGTTCTAACAACTAAGCTCTGTGAGTAAAGCAAATCACGATTTTACTCTCCAAGGTGTTTGCAGTGATGTGCATCTATAGCAAAGCCCCATCCCGATAGACCTCAGCTGTCCTAGTTTTCTTAAGGTAGGAGCTTGGGTTATTGATTTGAGATCTTTGTTCTTTTCTGGTATTAGCATTTTATTTTTTTTTAAAAAGATTTGTTTATGTATACAAGGGCTGGGGTGTAGGCCAGAGGAGTGTGTGTGTGGAGGGGGGAGAGGATTCACCAGAGCCAGAGTGGGGAGCAGAACAGGCAGAAGGACCGAAGTACACTGCTGAGGGGAGCAGCGAGTGAGACAGGAGAGGTCTGCTGAGCCATGTGGGTCACCTCCCTGGCTGGGGATCCAACTGGTGCTGCAATGGCTGCAGATAGTTTCATTGTGCTGAGATTTAACCTCTAGGCACCAGGGAGGCCCCATCTGATACTGGCATTTTAAAGTGAGAAATTTACTTACGTGCCATTAACTGCATCTCATACGTTTTTACATGTCTTTTAAAAAATTTTCATGGGCCTCCCCTGTGGCGCAGTGGGTTGAGCCCTGTGCTATGAAGTTGCAGCCTCTGCAGCGCCCGGTTTGATCCCTGCCAGGGAGCTACCCACAGGGCATAGCAGACCTCTCCTGTCTCGCCCGCTGCTCCCGTCAGCAGTGTCTTCGGTCCGTCTGCCTGTTCTGTTCCCCGCTCTGTCTCTGGTGAATCCTCTTCACCTTCACGCACCTCTGACCTGTACCCTAGTTCTTGTATAAATAAATCTTAAAAAAAAATTAAAAAATTTTTTCATTCAGTTCAGAATAATTCCTAATTTCCTTGATTATTTCTTCTTTGACCCAAAGATTATTTAGAAATGGGTAGTTTAAGGGCTTTGTTGGTGGCTTAGGGGTTAAATCTCTGCACTGTCATGCTATTATTGCTGAGGTCTGAGTTTGAACTCTGGCCAGGGAGCTCTCTGGCCCTCAGCTGCCCTTAGCAGTGTGTTTCAGTAGATCCGTCTGTTCTGCTCCCCACTCTGTCTCTGGTGACTCCTCTCACCTCCCCTATCTCCGCACCTCTGGCCTACACCCCAGTTTTTCTATGTGTAAATTAATCTTAAAAAAAAAAAATGGGTTGTTAAATTTCCAGTCATTTGGGAATCCCTAAATTTCACGCTGTTGTTGATTTCTACTTTAATGCCTCTTTACTAGGATAACAAAATTCATATGATTTTTCTCATTTCACATATATTGAGATGTTTTTATGGCCTCATATGTACTGTAGTCTGAAGAATGTTCCATTTGTGCTAGCAAGGAGATAACGTTGACTATATTCAGTGAACACTAACATAGCCAATGCTATGTTCAGTATTGTATTGTTGGTTAAAAGGCGCTTACACTTTCCACAAAATTTAAAGTGACTTGACAAAGGATACAAATATTTTAGAGACATTAAAGTAGAAGAAGGAAACCAGGAACAAAAAAAGGTTGAGCCAGGGGCTGAGATCGTTGTTGTTGCCTGTTTCGTGCAGTCTGTTCTGGGGGATGACTGTGCAGCGCAGATTCTAAAAGCTGTTGCCCAGCCTGAGTGGGACTTGGGTTTCTAGACAGTGGTGGATGTGGCTAGAAAGAAGGATTTGCAATAAGCATGTAAATAAAACCTCACAAAGAAATGACAGAAAAGCTGATTTGGGGCAGGATAAATTGCAGACAGTTAAAAATAATCTGTTGACATCTTTAGTATCCTTGACATGATTCATTTAAAATGGGGTGAAGGTAATTTGTTTTGGTTCCCAAACTTGCATGTTCATTTGCATTTTTGGATTATAAAGTTGACCAAAGAATAAAACCAAAATCTTCTCTAATCTGGTAGTTTATATGGTCCATAGGCCTCTACTCGTCCAAAATCAATGAAAAATGAAGAAACCTAGAGGGGCATTGGGATAGAATATAGGGCTGGGCTTCAGAAACGATGCAGGAAAACCAATTCATGCATTGGGAGGATCACAGGCAAGTAACCTAGTGATTGCAGAATTAAAACTCAGAATAGTTAGGCTCTTATACTAAATGTCAGGGTTATAATATTTTCTTAAGTGAACCCCATTTTTACTAATTTTATTTATAACCTTTCTGTGGGTAGTTTATTTTAAGGATTTTATTTATTTATGCATACAAGAACTGGGGTGTAGGCCAGAGGTGGGCTCTGTGTGGGTGTGTGTGGGTGGGTGCCGGAGAGAGAGGATTCACCAGAGCCAGAGTCGGAGTGGGGAGAACAGGTGGAATTAACTGAAACACACTGCTGAGGGGGCAGCCGGGAGACAGGAGAGGTCTGCTGCGCCATGTGGGTAGCTCCCTGGCTGGGCATTGAACTTTCGTCGTTGCAGAGGCTGCGGATCGCTTCACAGTGCAGAGACAACTCTTGGCGCCGCCAGGGAGCCTGGAAAGTATAAAAAAGCGTGGGTGATGGGCTTGCTCCCCAGCGTGCTCTCCAGGGCGCTGCTCGGGGAGGAGCCCCCAGAGCCCGCTCAGGGCGTGCGTTGCTTCATCACCTGCTGAGCCCGGGCCGGCCGCTGGCGGGGCCGCGCCGCCTCCCGCGGGCCGGGTGCCCTGTCCTTCCGGAGCCTTCTGGGGTTCGGCTCCTGAGAGTGCCTGCGGGCTGGGCGGAAGCTTTGTGTCGGGGGTCCGGCGCCTCGTCCTGGGCCGCCCATTCTGGAAGCGCCGGCCCGGGCCGGGCCTGCTCTACCTGCCCGCCGCCCGGAGCGCCGAGCGCCGCTCGTGCTGGGGTGTGGTGGGAGCGGCGGCGGCCGGCCCTGGGGTCCCCGTCCCCGCGGCGGGGGCTGCTCGGCGAGCGGGGTGCCGGGAGTTGCGCTCCTCTTTTCTATGGGGTCCGGGCTTGGGGTGCACGTGTTGCCGGGGTGGCCGAGGGGCCGCCCGGGGTCGCGTGCCCGCGGGTGGGCGCGCGCTGCGCCTGGGGCAGGTCGAGCTGCGCGGAGCCCCCACGACGGCCGGGCCCCCCACCACGGCCGGGCGGCTGCACCCCGCGCGTCTGCGCCCCCCCCACCCCCACCCCGTGTGCGCGGGGCCGCGTCCCGGAGAGAGAAGCTCCGGCGCCCCCACGCCCCCCCACGCCCACCTCGGGCCGGGAGCCCGGCCCTCCCCGCGCGCGGAGGCGTCTTCGGGCTGTGGGCGGGCGCCCGGCCGGGGCCCTGCGGGCTCTTCTTCCCCGGCGGGGCGGCGCGCGGGACACTCGCGCCCTCTGGCCCCCGCCCGGCCGCCCTGGTTTTGGAAGGGGGACAGCTCTTTAGATACGAGGCAGGAGATGCCCCGCCACGAGCGCTCACGCTTCTGGCCGCGGAGGTCACAGCCAAGGAGGAAGCGGGTTGGAAAAAGCCTCCCCGGATAGGTGGGAGACTGCCCCTTGCTGATTTCAGACTTATTTTTAATTTCCCTGTGCGGGAAGAGCCGAGGTGTGGGGCAGGGGTGTGGGCACGAGGACAGTCGCCGCGGACAGCGGGAGCAGAGCGGACAGACGCCGGCGCCCTGCCAGGGGAGCGCGGCGGCAGGGGAGGGCTGCGCCCCGGGGTAGCTCCCCGGCTGGGGCTGGGGCTGGGGATCGAACTCACCTGCAGTGATGGCGATAGCTTCGCGAAGACTTGACCCCTGCACCCCCAGGGAGGCCCCCACAGCTTCAATTTTAAAAACTTGCAGTTGTGAAGGCAAAACACTTTCAGTTGAAGAGAAGAGACATGTGACAGACGCCTGAGGTTAACATTCTGTCACTTGCCTGTCGTTCGACTAGAGCTTCTCCATGCTTCACTTTCCTCACATGTGGACTGAGAATGCTGGCATACCTGTTTTGTGTTTGTAGGCTGTGTAGATTAAATGAATTAATACATACATGTGTTTACAACATTGCCTGGCGTGGAACAGATGCTCTATAAGTATTAGCTGTTACTATCCCTTTATTGTTTCCAGAAGTTCATTTTATTGAACTCCTAATCATCTCCTATCAAGCCAGAATATTAGAAAGATTCTTGTAAAATGCATTTCTTTACTTACTTATTTATTTATTTATTTATTTATTTATTTATTTATTTTTTGCATTTTGAAAGGGCAGGTTTATTAAGGAACGAGAAAAGGAGAAAAGGGGGTATTTGTATAGTCACAAACAGGCAGTTCTTAAAGGATAAGAAGGCCCCTTCTTCCTTTTTAAATCGTGAAAGTGAAGACACTGGATGAGGTTTTAGAATTATCTGCACTAGGGTCTCTAGGACACCAGGTGACGCACCGGCAAATTATCCTTGCTTGTAAAAGACAAATTCTCCCAATTTGCTTTCTTGAACCAGAACCTAACTAGATTCTAGGTTTTCTTAATGGCTGGGCATGGCATAAGTCTTGAATGCCTCTCTCTCAGCTTCACTGCCTTAATAAAATCTTTTTTGTATTTATTTATTTGTTCATTTATTTATTTATTTATACAAGCACTAGGTACAGTGAGAAGCGCGGGAGGATGAGAGAACTTGCCAGAGCCAGAGCGGGGAGCAGAGCAGGCAGAAGGACCGAAGTACACTGCTGAGGGGAGCAGCGGGCGGCAGGAGAGGTCTGCGGTGCCGCCTTGCGGGACCCTTCTCTGGTGGTGGCCGGGGAGCAGCCGGGGATCGAACCGGCGTTGCAGAGGCTGCGGGCAGCTTCACAACCCAGCGCTCACCTGCTGCGCCACTGGGAAGGCCCTTTTTTGTTTCTTTTTAGATGTGTAAGAGGTTACTGTAACCAAACTTGCCACTTTCCAAACATCTGAGCTATGGTCAGGGTATCAGCCTTGACTTTTGATAGTTACTTTTTTTTTTTAAGATTTATTTATGCATACAAGAGCTGGGGTACAGGCTAGAGGTGCAGAGGTGAGAGGTTTCACCAGAGACAGAGTGGGGAGCAGAACAGGTGGATCTACTGAAATACACTGCTGAGGGGAGCAGCAGGCGAGACAGGAGAGGTCTGCTGCACCATGTGGGTCAGCTCCCTGGCCGGGGATGAACTCCTGCTGCAGTGGCTGCGTGTGGATAGCTTTATCGTGCTGTGTTTTAACCCCTTGCGCCACCA